CAAAAAAATTTTTTTCATTTATGTAAAAACTTGAAAACTATAAGTGCAATTTTTAAAATATTTTTTTAGTTGCAATTTAATTAAAAAACAAAAATCAAAAATTTTTAAACGTCTGCTAACTTCAGTGTCATAAAAAAAATTGTATTTGTAATTTTTTAAAATTTCTACATGTCAATTTTTTTATTCATTTTTGTGCCATAATTTATTTGTTAAAAGAAATTGTAATTATTAAATATCTGCTATAAGTATTTAATGATAATAAAATAAGCAGTTAGTCGATAACTTTTTAATTTTATTTAACAAATAATTTTACAAAATTCTACAGGTCGATCTTTTTTTTCAATTTTTTTTTTTTGCCATAATTTATTTCTTAAACAAATTCGAAAAATGATTAAATAGGGTAAATGCACCAATCTCTGTACTAAGCTATAAAAAAATCTATTAACCTATTAAAAACAATTTGTAATGGATTTTATTAAAGTTACTTAATTAATAATAATTAATAACTATTTATAATAAAAATTAACAAAATTATATCAATTTTGTTATTTGAATGTTGAAATACTAAAATCACCAATTATTGACCGAAGAAACCCAATAAATGACCGACCGTTCTCCAATTAATTGACCGCTCAAATAATTATAAGTAATTTTGTAAACTACATGTATGTAATTAAATTTATGCAGTACTTTTGAAGTATATTAACGACATCTTTAACAAAACTAAACATACAATATAATTTTAAATCGTACTTTTTTATAAAATAATATAAATAATAGTGATAATTAACATAAAGTCACATTTCTTTAGGTCACAAATAATCACAAATTCATTTTGATGACGATAATTCTTCTGATTAACTTGAAATTTTTTTATTCTTCTCCTTGTTTTTTTCAATTAAAGCTTTTTTACTAGCTTGTAACTCTTTTTTATTTTTTTAATTGCTTAGCAATTTTTTCTTCTAATAATTCGTTCTTTGATATAACCGTTCACTAAAAAAATTAGAACAAAATAAAATTTAATAATCAAAAAAGATTTTAAGTATTATTTTAATTATAAATATACATTTTATAATGATTATTTTTATATTTACAAAATATTGAATGACTAAAGTACTTTAAACACTTGACAGATTTAATTTTGGAGTTAAGAAGTTAGTATTATAATTATACGGTCATTAATTGGATTGTGATAAAATCAGAGGGTCTAATAAATGACCGAATGAATTTTTGACTGAGTAAAGGGCTTCTGACGGATCCAATAGTTGACCGGTCTTAAAATAATATTAAAACTTATAATTTAACTTTATTTTTTCAAAAAAGTTGGAATCTGATCTTTAATTAACATAATAAAACTAAAATATTTTATATTATGCCGATAAATATCACTAAATTAATGATGAAATGCACTGACTCTCCAATTGTACGCTAGTTATTTTTGACCGCTTTATGGCTGGTCGCGTTGTAAACAAACTCAGAATATTTTTTTAAAGCTATAATCACTGCGCAATTAATTGCGTAATTTTTTATTATGATGATTAAATGCCATATTGTTTTATTTTAATACTTTAAGAAAAAAAAAAAACCCTTGTAAAATATTAATTAATTAACTTTTTTATACATCGGTCAACTAATTGGTGACCGGTCAACAACTGGTGCATTTACCCTATCTCCTAAATTAATTTTAATCTAATTTTATTTTCATTAAAAAACTTGAAAAATTACAAGTGTAATTTTTAATATATATTTTTTATTTCTAATTTATAATAAATTAAAAAAAAAATAAAAATTTCAGCTAACTTTATTATTAATAATAAAACTAATTAAAAAAAAAAAATTAAAGGTCCCCCAGGAAAACAACCTGAAAGAAAAAGAAGAAGAATTAATAACAGAGGAAGAATTGCAAGCAGTAAAATCAAGCTGGCTTAACAAGACACAGCTGACCTCCAAGAAATTGGAGTACCCGGTGCTGCCTAAGAAAGGCGAGCGAAACATTTTGATCACCTCTGCGCTGCCGTACGTGAACAACGTTCCTCACCTGGGAAACATAATCGGGTGCGTGTTGTCAGCTGACATATTCGCGCGGTTCTGTCGCCAGAAGAATTACAACACCCTTTACGTGTCAGGAACTGACGAGTATGGAACCGCGACTGAAGCCAAGGCCTTCGAGGAGAAGATGACCTGCCAGGAAATTTGCGATAAGTACTTCACTATTCACGACGAGGTCTACCGCTGGTTCAACATCGCCTTTGATAGGTTCGGGAGGACTTCTACCAAGGAACAGACCGAGGTTGTTCAACAGTTCTTCCTGAGGGTCAAGGAACAGGGGTACATCTTCACGGACACCGTTGATCAGTTACGGTGTGAAGGTTGTGAAAAATTCCTGGCGGACAGATTTGTTGAGGGAATTTGTCCTGATTGTAAGTACGAGGATGCTCGTGGTGATCAGTGCGATGGTTGTGGTCACTTGATCAATGCTACTGAGCTGATTAATCCTAGGTGCAAACTGTGCAATCAGACTCCGGTTGTTAAAACTTCGGAGCATTTCTTCTTGGATCTTCCTAAGGTAATTTTATTAGTAGATAGATTTATTTAATATTGTACAACAGTAAGAACTACTTTTTACAATTTTTCATCACAGTATTTTTATAAGAGTCTTGGCATTTTAAATTTGTTAAAAAAAAAAAAAAAGACGCTTTGATGACACTGGCAATTTTTTAATTTTATTTAACAAACAAATTATTTAAAAAAAAAAAATTGCATCATATTTTTTAACAATTTTTACATGTGGAATTTTTTATTTTAATTTTTTGATAGAAAAATTTTGTTTAAATTATCAACAATTTTAAAATAAAAATGGCTACCACTGCGGATTTTTTTTTGCAAAAAAAAAATTAACTTGAATGAAGAAAAAAATTCTTGAACCAAGAAAATAATTTTGAAAAGTTTCATTATTTTGAATCGACAAAAAATTCTTGAATCAAGTAAAATTTACTTAAACCACGAAAAATTTCTTATTTTAAAAATTTTTCTACTCAAATCAAGAAAATGAAGTTCTTCAAAATTATTTACTTGATTCAAGTTAATTTTTTTTTCTATGTCAATAAATAGTATGATTTTTTTAAATAAAAAAAAAAATAAATGTTTCAATTTTATTAAATGCCAAGGCGCGAAGCCAAATGGCAAAAATGATATAAATAAAATTATACTTCACATAAGTACGGCCAATATTTCATATTTTTTGCAAACAAAATTAGGATAATCCTTTAATATCAGTAATGCAATAAAAATTTAATTTTGATCAATTAATCTATATTATTAAAAGAATAAGAAAAATTTTGTCTTCAGGATAGTCATATGATAAAATCGGTTTTTTTTTTTTTTTAAAGAAATTTAGTTTAATTGCAAAGGTCTTGTGACTTGTAAACTATATATAAAGAACATTTTATATATTTATATAACTCGTTGATAAAAGCAGGATGTCTATATGGGGTGGAAATTTGGGGATTGGATGAGCCAAAGAAAATCAAGACATTTTACAACAGGATAAACAGGATGTCATTGGGGGTGGCAAGAAACACGCCGGCGTATATAATCAGACAACAAGTGGGAATTGAACACATGGAGTACATAATAAAGGAACGAGCCTTGAGATTTCTGGCAGATGTAGTCAGGATGGACGATGACAGGTGGACAAAAATATGCATAAAAAATGAGATGAGAGAGATAATGAACAAGAATCCAAAAAAGTGGGGAAAAACAATAGAAAAATTTTTACAAAAAATAGGAATTGGAGAACTACCGAAAATGATTTATAAGGGTTGCAGCAGTGACGACGTGGAGGAAAAAATAAAAAGCGGATTAGAAAATTATAAGTGGATGTTGGATGAAAAAGAGGAGATACTAATAAAAAAATCCACCTACAACGAGCTATATAAAAATATAAAAACGGAGGAAAGCAACAACTATTGGAAAAGAGACAACATAAGAAGTGAAGATAAAGAAACATGGGCTAGATTACGATGCGGTAATATTTGGAGGGATGGAAAAAAAGGGCAAAATAACTGGGGGTGCAGAATTTGTGAAAAAGAGCAAGAAACGATTATTCACATTATAAATTGCAAGGAAATTCATGAAAAAGTAACAGTGGAAGGCAAAGAAGCAAAAAATAAATGGCTAGAAGAGGTAAATAACGATGTGTCCAGTGAATTAATGATAGAAACTTTAAAAGGGGAGATAAAAAAAGACTTATGTACATTTATAAGAGATGTAGAAAGAGTGTTTAAAGAAAAAGCACTAAATAACAAAAATTGTCAAGGCGCTGCGGACATATAATGTATACTAAAAAATGCAAAATTAATTATAAGAGTAAGAACAGAAATGTGATACTAGTAATTTTGTATAGTATAAAATTATTATTTGTTATAAAAGCTGTAAGGAGTGTGATATACTAGATTAAATCAAAGATAATAGTAAGTGGATGTAATAAAATAAAATGTAGTGTAGAGAGTGGTGTGTACTTATAAATAACTAAGAGTGTACCAAAGAAAAATGAGTAAAAAGCAATTATTTTTGTAAATGTAATATGGTAACAGTTTTGTAAAACACTAAATATGGTGATACAAATAAAATTATATTCTATTCTATTCTATAAAGAATATTTTAATATTTTGCTTTATGAAATCATGACTTTTGTTAAATTGCACTGTACTTTCTTAACTATTGACGTTTTTAAAAATATAAGCTCATCCCGATGTTACACTCATCAAGAGCTTTCATTTGAGTACCCACATCAATTTTTCATATATTTATATATATTATATATATATGTATATATGAAAAATATATCAAAATGCATGTGGGTACTCAAATGAAAGGTCTTGATGAGTGTAATGTCGGGATGAGCTTATATCTTTAAAAATGTCAATAGTTTACAAGATACAAGGTCATTTCTCAAGTATGTATCTAGAGATATAGCATTTTCGAATTCAGCCTAAATACTTATCATAATAAATTGACGTAAAAAGGCACAAATTCAAGTCAAGACCTTTGCAATGACACTAAATTTCACTAAAAAAAAAAAACCGATTTTATCATATGACTATCCTGGAGACCAAATTTTTCTTTCCTTTTAATAATATAGATTAAATAAGTTTCGATTAAAAAATAATACGTAAATTATTAAATTTTTATTTGAAATAAATAACAATTTATAATCCAAATTTTTTCAATGATTATTATAATTATTAATAAATAAAAAATTTCCAGATTGAGCCGAAGGTAAAGGAGTACGTTTCATCAGCAGAAGCAAACTGGTCTGGCGTAGCAAGATCAGTAACAAAGCCGTGGCTCCGGGATGGCTTGAAGCCGCGATGCATTACCCGTGACATTAAATGGGGAATCCCCGTTCCGCTGGAAGGCTACGAAGACAAGGTGTTCTACGTGTGGTTCGACGCACCTCTTGGGTACCTCAGTATCTCCAAGAACTACCACGAGGATTACGAGCAGTGGTGGCGTCCTCAGCCAGAGATGGATGTCTCGCTGTACCAGTTCATGGCCAAAGACAATGTTCCATTCCACGCGATAATGTTCCCCGCATCTCTCCTCGCGGCTAATCAAGGTCATGTCTTGGTGAAGAGTATCATGGCTGTAGAGTATCTTAACTACGAGGACACCAAGTTCTCCAAGTCTCGGGGAGTTGGAGTCTTTGGTACCGATGCTAAGGAAACTGGAATTCCTGCTGATGTATGGAGATTTTATCTTGCTTATGTTCGCCCGGAGGGTCAAGATACTAATTTTAATTGGACTGACTTGGCGACTAAGACTAACAGTGAATTGCTGAATAATTTTGGCAATTTTGTTAATAGGTTTGTTGGTTTCTTTTTTTTTAAATTTTATTTTAATGATTAATAATAATAATAATAATAATAATAAAAAAAAATTAATTAAAATTCAGTAAAATTCATCAAAAATGAATTAAAAATAACAATTTGTCTAGAAATAATATTTATTATTATTTAATTAATTTTATTTATTTTTTTTATTTTATTATAGATCTCTTGCATTCGCTGAAAAAAATTACGAAGGAATAATCCAAGAAATGGAACTTCGCGATGAAGAGTATAATTTGCTAGCATGTGTACAGCGTGAATTGACACAGTATAATTTATTGATGGAACAAGCTAAATTACGTGATAGCTTAAAATTAATTTTGTCAATATCAAAGCTGGGTAATCAGTATCTACAAGCGCAGCAACCTTGGGCTAAAATAAAAGGAGATGATAATGATAAGTAAGTTTATTTTTATTAGGCTTTATAGTCTTCTTTTTAAAAAATTTTAAACATGTCAATAATGAAGGAATGACTTTGTATTTTGTCTACTGATATTTTTAACGATATAAGCTCATCTTGGAGTTACAATTATCGAGACTTTTCATTTGAATACCTACACAAAATTTTTCATATATTTCACAAATATGAGAAATATCATATATATACAAAATATATGAAAAAAATCGTGTGCATACTCAAATGAAAGGTCTCGATGAGCTTAACATCAGGATGAGTTTATATCTTAAAAAATGTCAATAATTAAGAAAAGCCGTTGTATTTTGTCCGCTGATGATATTTTCAACGATATAAGCTCATCCTGATGTTACGCCCATCAAGAGCTTTCATTTGAATACCCACATGATTTTTTCATATATTTCATATATTTCACAAATATGAGAAATATCATATATATACAAAATATATGAAAAAAATCGTGTGCATACTCAAATGAAAGGTCTCGATGAGCTTAACATCAGGATGAGCTTATATCCTAAAAAATGTCAATGGTTAAGAAATAACTTTGTATTTTGTCTACTGATAATATTTCTAAAGATATAAGCTCATCCTGGAATTACAATTATTAAGACCTTTCATTTGAATACCCACACGAATTTTTCCATATATTTTATACCTATGATATTTCCATATTTGTGAAATATATAAAAAATTCATGTGGGTATTCAAATAAAAGGTTTTGATAAGCTTGAAAAATTTTGTTCTGTTAAACAATTTTATCTAATTTTTCCAAATTTTGATTAAAAAAAAAAAAAATTCATAAAATTAACAATTTCATATTTTTCTCCTGAAAAAAAATTTTATTAATATTAATCTTCAAATAAATTTTTTTCAGAAAAATCGCAGGAATGGTATCCGGAATCTGCTGTAACTTAAGTTGCCTGTTGTCATCACTAATCGGCCCATTCATGCCCGCAATATCACTATCTCTTCGAGCTCAACTAGGATTTGAAGACCACTACGGCTTCATCCCCGACACAGTGACGATTTTACTGGAACCAGGTCACAAAATCGGCAAATCTTCGCCATTGTTTGCCAGAATAACTGACAAGGAGATCCAGGCTCTCCGCGAGAAGTTCGGTGGAGTAAAAGAAGAAAAACCGAAGAAGAATAAAAAGACCCAGAAGCAGAGTAAGAAAAACAAGGATGAAGTTGCTGATTTACAAAAGTCTATAGCCAGCTTGTAATTTTTTTCAATCAAAATAATACAAATTTTGTAATTTTTTACACTCTAGATTTTTTTTCTTGGCTGTAATTATTTATTTTATTTATAAAAAGGGAATATTTACAATAGACTTTTAAAATTATAAATTTAATTATTTTTTTTCATCTTTGTCATTTGTCTCTTCATTATCATCTTCATCATCAGTTACTTCTTCAGTAGCTTCATTTTCAATTATTTCTTCACCTTTGACTTCGCTAATCACTTCACTAGAGTTATTTATCTCAATTGGCAAGCGATCACCCCACATACTTTTTTTTGCACAGCGGAACAAAAATCTGAAAATAAATAATTATTAAAATTTTTTCATAAAAATAAATAAAGATATAAAATTACTTTTCGTGTTTTGCTTTTGAGAAAATTATTTCTTGTAGCTTCCCTTCAGAAGTACACATGCGACAAATGGCCATCCTGGAATGCGTTATTGTTTCTCTTACAAGTCTTGGCCACTTATCATTATCTTCACGACTGGATCCTAAAAATAAAAAAATTTTTAAATAATGCAATTGTATATATCAATAGAAAAATTTTTTTATATTTAATAAACTTTCTTAACAATTAAACTTTTCAATCAGTGCCTGAAGAAATAAATTTAATAATCGAAAATAAATTATATAAAAAAACTTAGTTTTTTAAGTTTCCGCTAGGTGGCTACAGTTCTCGCAGTTAGAATTCTAAAATCTGAGTATTTAAGTTCATTATAAATTTTTAGAGGTCCAGGGTTTGAATCCCAGACAAAATAATTTTTTTAATACACTAATAGAAGAATTTGTTAATATTTAATAAGTTTGATAAACTGTTTTTGATAATTATTGTTCAACTATTTGTCTGAAAAAAAATTATTTATCAATAATTAAAAAAATAATTGTTTTTTTAATAAATTAATATTTTTAAAAAATAACTGAATTTATTAACAATTAATTAAATATTTAATCAGTGTATTGAGAAATAAATTGAATAATCCAAAATAAATTAAATCAAAAAATTAGTTTTTTAAAATTCCGCTAGGTGGCTACGTTTCTCGCAGTTAGTTTTTTAAAATCTGAGTATTTAAGTTCATTATAAATTTCTAGAGGTCCAGGGTTCGAATTTCAGACAAATTAATTTTTTTAATACACTAATAGAAAAATTTATTAATATTTAATAAGCTTGATTATTAATTAACTATTAATAAATATTTGCTCCTTATCTTAAAAAAAAAAATATTTATCAATAATTAAAAAAATATCTATTTTTTAATAAATGAATATTTTTTTTTAAATAAATGAATTTATGAACAATTAATAAATTATATTAATGTAAGTATTAATGAATTTTTTAATATAAAATAATAAATTACCTTTTTTAAAAACGACATACGAATACCGTTCAGTGTAAATCATATGACCTCTCCTGAATTGCAGTGGGAAAAATCTAACTTCAAAATTACAAGGTGTGTTTGTTCCATCATCATACCTTGGACATTTTAATTCATGAGGACACTATAAAATTAATTAATAATTATTAATTATTAATTAGTAATTGATAATATATCCAATTATTATAAAAAAAAATTTTTTTAAACTTACGGGTGAAAAAACAAAAGATTCGTACAATTCTCGCTTTTTGTGAATGTTGATCATATTAGTTATAAAATCTCTAGCTTCATTAATCAACTGTAAAATATTTATTCTTCAGCAATATAATATTTAATATTTTAACATTTAATTTTAATAAAAAAAAAAAAAAAAAAAAACAAAAAAAAAAAAATACCTTGAAGCCAGCGTTAGTTCCCTGGTCGACAATTACTAGGTACTTGTCAGTTTTTCGCCATAAATTTAAGATAGTTTCAATGCGAGTTTTTCTGTTCGGCAATTCCATGAGAGTGAATGCACAAACGACGATATCATAATTCTGTTAAATTAAGTCATTTAATTTTTAATTTAATTGTTAATTGATTTTGATATGAGTTAGTAATTAAAATTAAAATTTACATCATTTGTAACAGGTAGATACTGTTTGAAATAAATATTCCGTATTTTGGGCTCTGCTAATTTGGCTATCCATTCTGCTAAATCGCACATTTTTTCTGAAGCGTCGACACACATATATTCGCGTAATGATTTTTGCCAAAATTGAGAAGCTACCCTGAAAAAAAAAAAAATAAAATAAAATAATATTAATTTTTTTACAAGAAAAGAATATAAAATTGTTAGATTTTTTTTTGTTCATTAAATTGATGTAGAAATAATGTTAAAATTTAGACAATAATTTTTTTTTTAAATTGCAAATTTAAATTATTTGAAAATATTAAGATAAAAATCTACATTAAATTTTTTCAATTCAAAGGAAGAATATTTATAAAAATGAAAAAAAAAATTTGTAATTACAAAATTTTTTTATATAAAAAATTATAATTCAAATTTTTTTAAAATTATTGTTTTTAAAGAGAAGAATAAGAGAAAAACAAGAGAAGAATATCAATAATTATAATAATAAAAAACTAATAATAATACTACATCTTCTTGATCCATTGGAGTTTTTTAAAAATTTTGAATAAAATTATTGAAGTGTCGAAAATTAATAAAAATTTTTTTTAAATTAAAATAATAAAAAAATTAAGTCAAAAAATTATGAACCAAATTTTTTTAAGCTGAGCTCCATAATAAGAGAAGAATATAAAAATTGATGACAATAACTAGCAACCTTGCAGTCACTACGTGACTGACGTGACTTGTGAACTATAAATAATGAAAAACTTTGATTTATTAAATAATGACTTTTGTTAAATTGCACTGTACTTTCTTAAATATTGACGTTTTTAAAGATATAAAGTCATCCCGGTGCTACACTTATCGAGAGCTTTCATTAGAGTACCCACATGCATTTTTGATATATTTTTCATATATACATATATATAATATATATAAATATATGAAAAATTGATGTGGGTACTCAAATGATTGGTCTCGATGAGTGTAACATCGAGATGAGCTTATATCTTTAAAAATGTCAATGGTTCACAAGATACAAGGTAATTTCTTATTTATGTATCTAGAAATATTGCATTTTCGAATGCAGCCTAAATACTTATCATAATAAATTGACTATCGGTGAGAACAATATGAATCCTTGAAAACGGACAAATTCAAATCAAGACCTTTATAATGACACTAAATTTCACTAAAAAAAACTGTTTTATCATATGATTATCCTCGACACAAAATTTTTCTTATTCTCTTAATAATATAGATAATATTTTTTGATCCAATGAAGTTTTTTAAAAATTTTAAATAAAATTATTGAAATGTCAAAAATTAATTAAAATTATGAACCAAATTTTTTTAAACTAAGCTTCATAATAAGAGAAGAATATAAAAATTAATAATAATAATAATTACCAAGAAACAGAACCAACTCCCGACCCAAAATCCATCAAGCTTTTAGGTTTGAACTCAGGATCCCGTGTCTGAATTTCTTTAAGTATTCTATACATAATAGCATAATCATGAGCTCCCCGAGCAATCATGTACATAAGCCCTCGGTACTTGTCATACTCAATCGGAGCCCAAGGATGAACTTTTTTCCGCAGAATTTTAAGAGTGTCCTTATGCAGCGTCTCCTGAACTTTTTCATCATCCTGGCCGTCCAGCGAAATGTACTTGCCACTCTCGGCCAGTTTTTTTATTTCTTCAGCGTACTTCTGGTTTATCAGCTCCTGCTCTGGTGGTGGATGCCGCCCGTTCAGGTGCCGGTACAATTCTATTGCATCCTGCACTACAGTCTTCCTCGGGTGTTCTAATTAAAAATTTTTAATTATTTATGATACAATTGTTGAATAAGAACCACAAAAAAATTAAATATCAATCTCTTACCTTCCAAAGCGCGCTTCATAGCTTTGATTAACCATTTTGGAAGTTCAACGACTGTCCTCAATACAACACCCGGCTGCTTTCGAGGTTTGAATTTTTCTTCTTTTAATGAATTATTTACTTCTTCATTTAATTTTACTACTGGTAGTATTTTTCTTGCAGCATTTGTTGCGCACTGCAATTAAAATTCATATGATACTGAATTTAACCGACATCTAACAATTTTTTAAATTGTTATAATAATTTAATTGTAAAGAAATAAATTTAGCGAAAAAATTTCACATGTAAAAATTTTAAAAAATTATGTGTAAATTTTTAAAAATATTCTTTTTATAATAATTGGTTTGTTATAAAAATTTGAATAATTGTCAGATGTCTGCTAATTTCAGTATTCTAAATTCATATTAATTGTTATTTTAACTATAATTAAATGAAAATTAAATTATGATACTAAACTTAGCTAAGTTAGTTAAGTAAAAAGATATTTAAAAAAAATTGCACGGATAATTTTTAAAATTTTCTACATGTGAAATTTTTTCTTTAAAATTTTTTGTAATCATTTTTTCAATAAAAAAAATTTTTTTAATTTTAAGCCGTCAGTTAATTTAAGTTTCATAATTAAATTAAATGACATCTGATCATTTTAAGGATTTATTTCAAAAATAGATTAAATGTAATTTTAAATTTATATCAATCTTTTTATTAATTTGATTATTTTTTTCTATTTTTATAACAAAAGTTCAATAAAAAAAATTGATACAAAATTAAAAAAACATGACATTAAAATTAGCAGTCGCTTGAAAATTTTTTAATAAATAAATTTGCTCCGAAAAGTTTTTTCTAAAAAATTGGATTTTTTATTTTTTTAATTTTCTAAATGTCAATTTTTTTTTTTTTTTACTTTTCTTTGACTAATTTATTTATTAAAACAATTCTTAAAATTATGAAATATCTGCTAAATTAATTTTCTTTAAAAAAACTCATTAGTAAATTTATGAAAAAATATTTTTTTTTATAATTAAAATTAAAAAAATAATTAATTATTTATTAATTGCAGTTTTTTATAATTAATTAATAATTACCTGGCGTGATTGCAATTTAAAAGGCAAGTTGATTTTTTTAAACATTTTTATCAATATAAACAATACACCAAAATAAATTAATTAAATTATCATTAATTAAATGATCATTGACAGTAATTGTAATTGTAATTACTTAAAAAGAATAATCAACTTGTCAAATTTTTATTATTTTGCAATTTATTTTTATTTATTAAAATTCACTTTTCACTTTATTAACTTGCTCCGGTTTGCGTTCACTAAAAACACCATGTGCGATTCTAACCTAAAAATTATACAAAAAACTAGTTCAGTTTCATAAAAAAAAAAAAATCATTTAAATTTTCTCAGTGCTTGCTAAGAAAATAATTATTGTTTGTAAATGTTGACAATTAATTAATAATTTTAATTGTTAATTAAATTTTTTGTTTTTTAGAATTAAATAATTGTAAGTTTATTGAAGTTTTTTTTTAATTAGATATTAAAATTGACAAACATCGGACAGGATGTTTTTTTTAAAGACAAATTATTTAAAAAGTTAAAAATTACTCTAATAATAATAATAAAATAGTAAATTAAAATTTTTTTTTAATTGTTAAATTTTTAGAGAAATGTTAAAATTTAAAAAAAAAATTTAGAGTGTAAAAAAAATAAAAATTATAGGGTAAATACACCAATTATTGACAGATTAAGGTTTTTTTTTCTGTACTAAGCTATAAAAAATCTATTAACCTACTAAAACCAATTTATGATGGATTTTATTAAAGTTAAATACTTAATTAATAATAATTAATAACTATTTATAATAAAAATTAACAAAATTATATTAATTTTGTTATTTGAATCTTGAAATACTAAAATCACCAATTATTGACCGAAGAAACCCAATAAATGACCGACCGTTCTCCAATTAATTCACCGCTCAAATAATTATAAGTAATTTTGTAAACTATATGTATGTAATTAAATTTATGCAGCACTTTTGTAGTATTAACGACATCTTTAACAAAACTAAACATATAATATAATTTTAAATCGTACTTTTTTTATAAAATATTATAAATAATAGCAATAATTAACATATAAAGTCACATTTCTTTAGGTCACAAATATTCACAAATTCATTTTGATGACGATAATTCTTCTGATTAACTTGAAATTTTTTTATTCTTCTCCTTCTTTTTTTCAATTAAAGCTTTTTTACTAGCTTGTAACTCTTTTTTATTTTTTTAATTGCTTAGCAATTTTTTCTTCTAATAATTCGTTCTTTGATATAACCGTTCACTAAAAAAATTACAACAAAATAAAATTTAATAATCAAAAAAGATTTTAAGTATTATTTTAATTATAAATATACATTTTATAATGATTATTTTTATATTTACAAAATATTGAATGACTAAAGTACTTTAAACACTTGACAGATTTAATTTTGAGCTTAAGAAGTTAGTATTATAAATATACGGTCATTAATTGGATTGTGATAAAATCAGAGGGTCTAATAAATGACCGAATGAATTTTTGACTGAGTAAAGGGCTTCTGACGGATCCAATAGTTGACCGGTCTTAAAATAATATTAAAACTTATAATTTAACTTTATTTTTTCAAAAAAGTTGGAATCTGATCTTTAATTAGCATAATAAAACTAAAATATTTTATATTATGCCGATAAATATCACTAAATTAATAATGAAATGCACTCACTCTCCAATTGTACGCTCGTAATTTTTGACCGCTTTATGGCTGGTTGCATTGTAAACAAACTCAGAATATTTTTTTTAAAGTTATAATCACTGCGCAATTAATTGCGTAATTTTTTATTATGATGATTAAATGCCATATTTTTTTATTTTAATACTTTAAGAAAAAAAAACCCTTGTAAAATATTAATTAATTAACTTTTTTATACATCGGTCAACTAATTGGTGACCGGTCAACAACTGGTGCATTTACCCTATTAATTTAATTTTTTTTTATTAAAATTGTGGAAAAATTAATACAAAAAAAATTTATTTAATTTTTTTTTAATGTTAGCTTCATAGAATTGTTTGAATAAAAGAAGAATATAAAGATTAATATTTTTTTACAGATAAAATAATAAATTTTTTTAAAAATGGACAACGAATCATCGAATGGAACTAATGAAAAATCTGAATACTCTGCTGAAAAAACAGAAATGCTTTTCAAATCAGTTAAAACGGTAACTACTTTTTTTTTTTTATTTGTTAAAAATGCATTTTATTTCTTAATCTTAGATGAAATTATAAAATTTATAAAAAAAACATGTTTTATTTATTATTGTAGAACTTGGTTGAAATTACACAGCTTGCGCATGAAGCGGACAAGAATTTGAAAGGTCTTCAGCAAAGTATGGCTAACACCAAAAATCTATTGAAACTTCTACAAGAAGACAAAGAATTAAATTAAAAAATTAAAATTATTCCATGTAAATTTACTTATAATAAATTGTGTACGGGTTTTAATAAGTTAAATAAGGGTTAAAATAAGTAATGATATTGAAGACTAAGTATAATAAAGAAGTTCTTTATTGATTGTTTAATAAGTATGATTAAAAAATACAATAAAGTGAAATTAATTAATTAAGCAGCATTTTTCTTTTCTTCTTGATACATGTAATGAAGATCCTTGCAATCATCATCGGAAATGCGGACCCAGCCAGTTTCTTTCATGTGGTAGACTATAAATAATTAATAAATTAATATTAACATTTAATAATAATGATAATAATAAGATTTTTTTTACAAGAGAAGAAATTGTAAATTTTATTAAATTTTTTTTTTTTAATTCATTAAATTGTTAAAATTTTAGAAAAATTTATTTAAAAGTAAAAAATTAAAAATATTTTAGATATTTTTTTGAAAATTAAAATTCTAAAAAAATTAAGAAAATAAAATTTTATGAAAATAATTTCAAGAAACAAAAACTAAAATTATTTTAACAGAAAAAAATTTTTAAATACATTTTTTTTAATAAAAAAAATCATACTTAAAAATTTCTTAGGGTAAATGCACCAGTTGTTGACCGGTCACCAATTAGTTGACCGATGTATAAAAAAGTTAATTAATTAATATTTTACAAGGGTTTTTTTTTCTTAAAGTATTAAAATAAAAAAATATGGCATTTAATCATCATAATAAAAAATTATGCAATTAATTGCGCAGTGATTATAGCTTTAAAAAAATATTCTGAGTTTGTTTACAACGCAACCAGCCATAAAGCGGTCAAAAATAACTAGCGTACAATTGGAGAGTGAGAGCATTTCATCATTAATTTAGTGATATTTATCGGCATAATATAAAATATTTTAGTTTTATTATGTTAATTAAAGATCAGATTCCAACTTTTTTGAAAAAATAAAGTTAAATTATAAGTTTTGATATTATTTTAAGACCGGTCAACTATTGGATCCGTCAGAAGCCCTTTACCCAGTAAAAAATTCATTCGGTCATTTATTAGACTCTCTGATTTTATCACAATCCAATTAATCACCGTATATTTATAATACTAACTTCTTGATCTCAAAATTAAATCTGTCAAGTGTTTAAAGTACTTTAATCATTCAATATTTTGTAAATATAAAAATAATCATTATAAAATGTATATTTATAATTAAAATAATACTTAAAATCTTTTTTGATTATTAAATTTTAATTTGTTGTAATTTTTTTAGTGAACGGTTATATTAAAGAACAAATTATTAGAAGAAAAAATTGCTAAGCAATTAAAAAAATAAAAAAGAGTTACAAGCTAGTAAAAAAGCTTTAATTGAAAAAAAGAAGGAGAAGAATAAAAAAATTTCAAGTGAATCAGAAGAATTATCGTCATCAAAATGAATTTGTGATTATTTATGATCTAAAGAAATGTAACTTTATGTTAATTATCACTATTATTTATATTATTTTATAAAAAAATACAATTTAAAATTATATTGTATGTTTAGTTTTGTTAAAGAAGTCGTTAATACTTTAAAAGTACTGCATAAATTTAATTACATACAAGTAGTTTACAAAATTACTTATAATTATTTCAACGGTCAATTAATTGGAGAACGGTCGGTCATTAATTGGGTTTCTTCGGTCAATAATTGATGATTTCAGTATTTCAAGATTCAAATAACAAAATTAATATAATTTTGTCAATTTTTATTATAAATAGTTATTAATTATTATTAATTAAGTATTCAACTTTAATAAAATCCATTA